GCCAACCTCAGACTTGATTGACGAAGTAGTTAACCAAGAACTTGATGACGAAACAAAACTAATTATAGGATTGGATTGGAAGAAAAACTGAAACTATTATAAGAACTCAACTGAAAAAGAATATCAGAGCACAAAATGTATGTTCTTATGTCGTTTTCGCATATGAAAATGTATAGTGAAAAATGGAAGAAAAAAAAGTAAAGTGCAAGTGGCTTTCAAAATTGGCTAATTATAAATTGAAGTAGAGTCTTGAAACTATCAACTTGTCTGTTTCTTTATCAGCTTTCTCTCGATGTTTGTTGTGTGCCGGCCATTACTGTCTTGTATTCCATCATCATCTAATTATAGAAGATTGTATTTCATACGTTTCTTTAATGCCATATGGCGCCATATAATATATTCGGGCAATTAGCTGAATAAATTACCTGAACTTCACATTGCAAAGGATGTGTAGTTGTGGGGGAATTTCTATGCGTCTTTATATGAAGGGGTCAAGGTTGTGGTGTTTGTTATGAAACTCTAGTGTTGAGCAAGATGGGTTTAGGGATCAAGGTTGAAGTCATTCACAAGGAAACAATTCAACCATCATCTCCAACTCCTCACCACCTTAAAAATACCAACCTCTCTGTTTTTGATCAGTTTCTTCCAGATATTTATGTCCCAATCCTTCTCTTCTATCCCAACAATAATTGTGAAGAGGTCAATAATTTGGTAGCTGAGAGATCCAAGCTTCTAAAAACATCATTATCTGAGACCCTCACTCACTTCTATCCCTTTGCAGGAAAGTTTCAATATAATGATTCAATATGTTGCAATGACCATGGGGCTGCATTTCTTGAAACCCAAGTCAACTGTCCCATATCGAAGATTTTGGGAAAACCCGATTTCGTGATGCTAAAACAGTTGCTTCCAGCTGATACGGAATCCAGACAAGAAGGCGCAAGCTATCTGGTACAAGTCCAGGCCAACTTCTTTGGCTGTGGTGGAATGGCAATTGGAGTATGCATTTCGCATAAGGTATCTGATGCATCTACAATCAGCAAATTCATTAGTAGCTGGGCTGCAATTTCCTTTGGCTCCAATGGCACTACTCCTTTGGTGCTTCCTGCAGAATTTGGTGTTGCATCTTCTCTCTTCCCACCACTAGATTTCCTAAACACACCCCAACCCCCCATGGAGTATGATAAAGAAAACTTGATCACAAGGAGATTTGTGTTTGATGCCTCAAAGATCGCTGCTCTCAAGTCCAAAGTTTCCACTGCCACTGTGCCAAACCCAACGCGTGTTGAAGTTGTGTCAGCGCTCATTTGGAAGTGTGCCTTTGAAGCATCGAGATCAAACCTGGGTTCTGTGAGGACATCAGAGTGGTTTCAATTCGTGAACATGCGAAAAATATTGGTGCAGCCATCGGCAGAAAACGTTGCGGGGAATGCATTGGCGCTGGTTTCAGCAAAGACTCATGGAAGTAAAGTAGATGGTGATGTTCAAAGCTTGGTTGCTAAACTCAGGAAATGCTTTAAGGAGTTTAAAGTAAAATATGCTAATGATGTCAGTGGGGAAGATGTATGTGAATTCTTCAAAGATTATTGGAAACTCACCGATCAGGATGATGTAGACACCTATACTTGCAGCAGTTGGTGCAGATTTCCTTTCTATGCCGTCAATTTCGGATGGGGAAGGCCATCATGGGTGAGCCAGAGCATGGAATACAGGAATCTGATTGTGCTGATGGATACAAGAGATGGGGATGGCATAGAGGCATGCTTGACTCTCGATGAAGAAGAAATGGCCATATTTGAAGTAGACGAGGAGTTGCTTGAATATGCAGCTTTAAATCCAACTTTAGTTTAGTTTGCTTACTTTAGATGAATATTGCTGTACCTTCGATGATCTCTCAATGTTTGATGCTTGTATTCAGTTTGTACCAAAAATAAATTTAAGACGTGTGCTTTCATAAATTACAAAAAGCATGTCATTAGTTTGGTCACTAAATTGTCGGCCGAAGAGAAAGAGAAACCCCCCTGACTTAGTCACTAGTTGGTACAACCTATAATTTCAGGGCTCATTTGCCAGTGCTTCTTCAAGAGTCCTTTTTTAGAGCTTATGAGCAGGAGTGCTTACTTTAGAAGCAATATATATCCCAAATGAGCCCTGAAATTATATTTCTTGTCTTGTATTGTTATTATTACTGATAAAAAATTAGAATCTTTTGTTCCGAAATGAGCTTTGAAATTTTCAATTGGCCTGGTTATTTCAAAATGGGATCATAATCAATCTAGAAGGCTTGTTTAATTATTAGCAATATAGCACGTTACTTTATTATTATTATATTATTATTAAATATATGCATCCCTCCTACTCGTTCAACTGAAGAAATCTAAGTACAAGGCATTATCTGCCCATTAGTCCAATCTACTGTACACGTTAGCATGACTTGGATCATGAATGTTTAATGGTTTTCAAAGTTGATATATGCACAGAACACAGAGGATTCAATTTGATGTGTTTCTTAAGTTAATGTCATCTTTGTAGCATATGGCATATATGATAAACTAAAAATACACGAGTGTGGAACTCAAGTTGCAACGTTGAGGATATGGATTATATGTTTCTTTATTGTCCCATATGTATGTATCATGTGGGGCATATAATAAACTACTTCAGTTTCACATTGCATCGGGAATCTTGTACTGTGTCTTTATATATGGAGGTGATGGTGATTGTTATGAAACACAAGTGTGGAGCAAGATGGGTTTAGGGATTAGGGTTGAAGTACTTCACAAGGAAAAAATTCCACCTTCCTCTCCAACTCCCCAACACCTCAAAACTACAAACCTCTCTGTCTTTGATCAGCTTATTCCAGATGTTTATGTCCCAATACTTCTCTTCTATCCCAACAATACTAATAGTGACCATGATATTGATGAAATATGTGAGCTTCTAAAAACATCATTATCTGAAACCCTCACTCACTTCTATCCCTTTGCAGGAAAGTACCAATGCAATGATTCAATCCGTTGCAATGACCACGGCGCTGCATTTCTTGAGGCCCAAGTCAACTGGCCCATGTCAAAGATTTTGGAGAAACCAGATTTTGGGATGCTAAAACAATTGCTTCCAGCTGATATGGGATCCAGACTAGCAGACCCAAGCTATCTTGTACAAGTCCAGGCCAACTTCTTCGAATGCGGTGGAATGGCAATCGGAGTCTGCATTAGTCATAAGGTTGCTGATGCGTCTACGATCAGCAAATTCATTACTAGCTGGGCTGCAGCTTCCCTGGGCTCAGTCAGTACTACTGATCACGTAGTACTTCCTGCAGCAGATTTTGGTGCTGCAGCTTCTCTTCTCCCACCACTAGGTTTTCTCAACCCACCTCCACCCATAGTGGAATTTGCTAAAGAAAAGTGGACAACAAGAAGAATTGTGTTTGATGCCTCAAAGATTGCTGCTCTCAAGTCTAAAGCTGCCACTGCCATCCTGCCAAAGCCTACACGTGTTGAAGTATTGTCCGCGCTCATTTGGAAGTGTGCCACTGAATCATCACGATCCAAATTGGGTTCTATAAGGCCATCAGCGTGGCTTCCATTCGTGAACATGCGGAAAGTATTGGTGCAGCCCTTAGCAGAAAAATTTGAGGGGAATTTTTTCGGCGTCTTCGCAGCAAAAACCAAAGTAAGTGAAGATGATGATGATGAAGATGTTCAAAGGTTGGCTGCTAAACTCAGAAAAGGCATTGAGGAGTTTAAAGTGAGATATTCTAATGGTGTTAGCGGGGATGATCCATGTGAATTCTTCCAAGAGTTTGGGAGCCTCATGGATGGGAGTGATGGGGACGCCTACAGTTGCAGCAGTTGGTGCAGGTTTCCTTTCTACACAGTCGATTTCGGATGGGGAAAGCCATCGTGGGTGACTCAGTGTATGGAATTCAAGAATATGATTGTGTTGACAGATACAAGAGATGGGGATGGCGTAGAAGCGTCCTTGACTTTGAATGAAGAAGTCATGGCTATATTTGAAAGCAATAAGGAACTGCTTGCATATGCTTCTCTGAATCCGTCTGTCATTTAATTAGTACCAAAAAGGAAAATTAAATAACAAAAGGCCTCCTCTTGTGATTCTTAGATGAACATTATTGCTGGAGCCTTGATGATCTTTTCATTGTTTTCGTATTTGTTCACTTCAGTTTGTACGAAAAATAAAATTTAAATTCGGGTGCTTTCAATACATTGTTCTTTCTTTTCCTTTGTTGGTATAGTCAGTCTCAATCCTATCCAATATTAATAGTCACGTCCAATCCCACATTCCAAACGAGGACCATGGGGGACGAGGCCAGGACAAAAAGAAAGCCTGGATACTATAAAACAGAAGACTTGGGATACAATTACAATTTAATATATGCCAACTCCTTAGCGTATAGTTCTCTCCTTAAAAGAAAAAAAGGTATGAAAAGAAGGGGGTTTTTAGTTTCCTAATTTATTTGGGTTAGGTTTTTAGTTTCCTAGTTTATTTGAGTTAGGATTTTTGTCTAATGCTACTTCATACTCATCCAGTTTAATGGTTTGACTGTCCGAAGCCCATTCCCCTTGGAACGTATGAAATTTTTGGGTGCAATTTTAAAGCAAACAAAGAGTTACGATTTCATCCCAATTGAATACGCCGCCCATGTTTTAAAAAAATTTAGTTTCCTAATTTATTTAGTTTCCTCATTCGTAAACCCACAGTATCTCATTCATATTTGCCTCTGGTTCATGCTTGCGATTCACCAACTGTTATCCAGGTGAGGCTTTGCACCCTCTGGTTCATGTATTTGTTTTTGTCTGCAGCAGAGCCCATCACTTGACATAAGATTTTTGTTTTTGTTTTCAATGATTTTTTTTGGATTATGTTAAGTGCTTGGTTGCTGTTTTTTCTTGGATTCAAGTATTTCAATGGTCTTTTTATTTTTTATAATTACGTTAATTGTGATGCTTGCAGTTTTTAGGGTTTAAATATCAAATATGGAACAAACTCCGATCAACGAAGACTCACCCGTCAGCAAAAAGGCCGCCATGAAGCAAGAGAAGCTTCGCCGGCCCCAAGAGCAACAAGCCCTGGCCATCGCATCTCGCTCTCTTGCCGTTGACGACGAGCTGGACCAGCTCGCAGCCAACTACGGAGAGTTTCCGCTACAATTGAAGACAGTGGAGAACGTCAGCCGACGGACCCAGGTTGCCGCTCTGACCAACGCATTAGAGAACTGCTCGGTGCGGATTTGAGGCAAAGTTCATATGATCCGAGTCGTTGGGAAGAACATGGCGTTTGTGGTCGTCAGAGAGAGATGGTTCACCGTGCAGTGTGTGGTGACGGTCCAGCCTGATACTGTGAGCCGCCAGATGGTTAAGTACGTTGCTGGTTTGAGCCGTGAATCGGTTATTGATGTTGAAGGTTTCGTGTCTGTTCCTAGTGTTGAGATAAAAGGCACCACACAGCAGGTATTTTTTGTTTTATAATTGTAATTATACTCCTTTTTTTTTCCTTCCTAAAGTTGTCACTTAAATTATAAAAAAGAAGGGTTTTGAGCCCAAATTTTGAACGAGCAGTATTTAAGGAATGCTGATCCGTTTGAAAGAGGTTAGCAATTTGAACTATTGGTTTTAATTAGGTGGAGGTTCAAGTGAGGAAATTGTATTGTGTGAGTAGGGCTCCTGTGCTATCTTTTAACATTGAGGATGCTGCTCGAAGTGATGCTGAAATCGAAAAAGCTTTGCAGGTACAATGACCATTTATAAAGAGAGTAAGATGAGAGGTTTTTTATGAATTGGATTCTTGAAATTTTTTATCAAGTATTTGGTTCGTTTTGATTTGTTTTGTTTTTAATTTTGTGCATTTATTGCATCGTTTGGTGTGTTTTTAGGCTGGAGAAAAACTTGTCCGTGTTAATCAGGACACCCGCTTGAATAATAGAGTTCTTGACTTGCGGACACAGGCAAATCAGGGGATATTCAGCATCCAGAGTGAAGTTGGAAATGTAAGTTTTGTTTTTACCATTTGCATATATATGCTTTGTGTTTATTGTGTTTGTTTCTCTTCGTAACGTTGAAGAATGTTTGTTGTTACAGTTTAGTTCTGTATGTAATTGGTTGTCTTATTGTGTAGATCTTTAGGGGTTTCTTGTTATCTGAAGGCTTTCGTGAAATCCACACGCCAAAACTGAATGCGGGTTCAAGTGAAGGTGGTGCTGCTGTGTTTACACTCGACTACAAGGGTCAACCTGCCTGCCTAGCCCAATCACCCCAGCTTCACAAACAGATGGCCATCTGTGCTGAATTTCGCGGGGTTTTTGAGATTGGTCCTGTTTATAGAGGCGAGGACTCAAATACCCATAGGAATTTGTGTGAATTTACTGGTCTTGATGTTGAAATGGAGATCGACTTGCACTATTCTGAGGTAGAATTTGAATGTCAAAGGTCTTCTTATCCCTAGCAGCGAATATGATCATGGATGTGAGTTTAAGGTACCGTTCGGCACCCTTCTCCTTAATCTGCTGCATGCTTTAAGGGTTACGTCCTTCCTTGGCTCGGACTAGACTGACCATAGGGGTCCCATTCGGTAGTCTAGTCGCCATAGGTAGCGATGTAGGGATCGGTAGGATAGCATCCGGCATGAGCCTTAGTTTCCCTTTTTCCTGTTTTTGTAGATGTCTGATAGCGAGTCATTCTCCTAGCGCGAGCCCAATGCGTTCGACGAGGAGTCATCGGATGGTCTCTTTGACTCCGACGGCGAAGCGGCAGGGCCTGATGCCGAGGGTGGGAGTGATACCGACGTCGAGATACTCGGCGAAGGGCCCAGCTCTATTCCAATACATGGAGTCGAAAAGGGGCTAATGACCGCTCCCGTCCCGTTGTCCATCGTCTACAGTGACGGCCGCCACGTGGGCCTCGGTATGCCTGGGGAGGCGGGCGGTAGTCGTCAGTCGGAGACCTCCACTTCCGGCCGTGGAGAGTCGGTAGCCAAACCGCCATCTGGGCCCAGGGTATCGGTAGTGTACCCAAGCAACCCTAGGATGCCTATGGGGGTGCCGAAGGAAAACCTATTCGGCGTAGACTATCTTGGGCCGAACAAGATTACCGATCGGGAGATTGCCAAATTTCGAGCAGAATACCGCATTCCCGACTCGGTACGGATGAGGATCCCGGGTCCTACCGAATCCCTTAGTGCGCCGAAGGACGGCGAAGTAGTTTTCTTTACCGACGTCCTTGTGCAAGGCGTTCGGTTGCCGTTGCAGCCGGCGGTACAGAGGATTCTAGCCCAGATCGGCTACGCCCCGGGGCAATTCAACCCCAACTTTTGGGTGGCCCTTATGGGAGTGATAACGGCCTTCGGCATATGGCTGGCGAAGGGAGCCCCTCCTATGAGCAGTTCTCCCATCTCTACAGTGTTACCAAGTCCAAGTGTGCCGATCACGGCGGATGGGTGCAGGCGAACTGCCTCAGGGCTGCCGATCGAGGCCACTTTGTCAGCTGGGTACCGACTTCACAAAAGTCGTGGAGGAATCGGCGGGTGCTCCTCTCGGGCGACTGGGAGTCGCCTTCGGGACAGCCTGTCCGATTTCGCATTCCCACAACTTTCCAAATGGCCGGTAGGACCACGTGCCGTTCGGTACCCTCTCTGGGTTCTCTGTTTACCGTAAGTAATCTTTCCTTTCTCTTCTTCTTGTAGGTAAGCTGAAGCAGCCGATCGCAACGCAGGCCGAGATTCAGCAAGTGGAGAGAGTGAGGAGGAAAGTCCCTGCCGAGGAGAGGGTGTATCCGCAGTTCCTCTTCACCACCAATCTGATTCGGGCCCAGCTGGTTGATCCTGCCGAGAGTAAGTATACTTCGTAATTTACAAATTGTTTTTTCTGTTGCGGGTCTTACCGAACCCTTTTCTCGCAGTGACGGAAGAGAGGAGAGCTGCCGAGGCTAAGAGGATGAACGAGTCCTCCAAGCGCCGTCTCATGATGGGCTTCCAGGGGAAGAAGAAGAAAACCCAGCCGCAGGGCTCGGCATCGGTAGACCCCGGAGGACCAGACGTTGGCCGACCGTCTCCGTGAGCTCAACGCCGATTCGGCACAGGCCGGGGCGGCAGCGGCCGGCCCTTCTTCCCGCCGAGGCGCCACTACCGAAGGGACTTCCTCCCGAGCCGCCGGCAAACGGCCCTTCACCGTCGACCTAGATGCCGAACCGGCCCCAAAACGCGGACGGCAGGCCGAGCCGACTCGGGCCATCTTCGCCGCTGACAATGACGAGGAGCCTGCCGATCCCGTCACCCTGGCCTGTCCCGCCGAAGGCGGTCCAGTTCGCGAACCATATGATCATTGGTTCGCAAATGGAGCTGAACGAGATCGAGGAGCTGCCGAAGAAGCTCCTTCGAGAGGAGGCGGGTCGCGCCTTCCGTCTTCAGGCATCGGTAAGTCCAGAACATTTCAGGCCCAGATTACCGATCATTCTTTATACCTTTGCTGACATGCTCTTTGTTCTGCAGGCTTCGATGGACATGTGGCTTTGCATGAAGCGGGCCATCAATGCGGCGAGAAGGCGAAGAAGGCCTATGACGACGGCAAGGGCCAGGGTTGCCGAGGCTGGCAAGGCTATCCAGGACCATGCGAACCTGGTGAAGGATTTGCAAGCTGCCGAACGGCAGGTCAGGGTATATGAGTCCAAGTTCGCAGATCTGTCCTCTGCCCTGGAGTCGACACAGCTGTCGGCAAAAGAGGCTCTGGAGGCAAAGGATGCCGTTGAGGTGGCTCTGGAGGAGTCGGAGCGGGCCAAAGCGTCGGAGATTGAGGCTGCCGTCCAGGAGGCCATTCAGAAGTATCGCCACTCTACCGATTTCTCTACCTTGCTCGACAAGGAGGTGGGCTCGGAGATGGTGGATCTCATCTACCGATTCAAGCGGTACAATCCTGGGACGAAGCTCAACTTGAACTTTATTGCCGATCCTCCTCCCCTTCCCGAAGGCGTTACGGAAGAAATGATCGAAGAGTACGAGGGAGAAGACGCTGCGGAGGAGCCCGAAGCTGCTGGTGCCGAAGGGGGCGGATGCCGAGGGCCCTTCATCCTGATCACCAGCCTTTGCTTAATGTAATTTTGATGCCGATGGCATTCTTGTAATTTTGTTGCGACTCTGATGCCGTTGGCATCTTTTGTTTGGATAATAATGTCGTAGGCATGTTTTTATTAAAATTATGTTTTCACTTTAAGTTACTTACATCTTACTTCTGAATCGGTAGCGTTTTTAGGAAATTTTTCTGTTTAATGCCAAGTCTTAATGCCGAAGGCTCTTAAACAAAGGTCATTGGCCGTTGGCCAGTAACGTTTCCTTTCAAGCACAAGTTCCAAGTGTTAGGGATTGAAACCAATGGTCGTGCTTGCCGATTGCAAAGCAATGGCCCGTAGTTACCGAAAGCCTATAATGCCCAATAAAGTCTATCAAGTTGCCCCTTAATCGGTAGGATAATGGCGATGCCAAAATGCGTAGTTTGCTGTGACCGATGGTCCCTACCGTACCCCCTTTTTTTTTGAACAAAAAATGGAGAGATTGAAAGGTACAACAAAGGTGCTGAATATATGAGCCGAAGGCCCTTTCATTGATAAACTGCCGAAGGCAAGAGTACAATTAGGAGTGCGTTTTACAATTTAGAACCCGCCGTTGGCTAGGAAACGCTATAATGCCGAAGGCTGTGCTTGTAGAGATGCCGAGGCTTTTGTGACTCCTCCGTGACCCTGCCGTAGGCAAGGTGACTTCATTTGAAATAGTACTTCAAATGCTCTACGTTCCAAGGATGACCGAGGGTCTTTCCGTTGGAGTCTCTGAGTCGATAAGTCCCCGATCGCTGGATACCGATGATTTCGTAGGGTCCCTCCCAGGAAGGTCCGAGGGTTCCTTCCGTGGGATTCTTGGTTGCCAAAGAGACTTTCCGCATGACCCAATCTCCGATTCGGAAAGAGCGGGATCTGACCCTGGAGTCATAGTACCGAGAGACGCGTTGCTTGTAAGCTTCGTTCCGAAGGTTGGCTTGTGCTCGGCGTTCTTCGAGCAGGTCGAGGCTCAAAGCGAGTGCTTCCTCATTTGCCTTCGGTGCGAAGGTTTCCGTTCGGTAGGAGGGCTCTCCAATTTCTACTGGGACTACTGCCTCTGAACCGAAAGCCATAGAGAATGGTGTTTCCCCAGTTGCCGTTCGGTAGGATGTCCGGATGGCCCATAGCGCTTCCGGAAGCTTTTCCGGCCAGGCTCCTTTGGCTTTGTCAAGCTGCCGTTTCAACAGCTTCTTGACAATTTTGTTCATGGCTTCGACCTGTCCGTTCGATTGGGGGTGTGCTGGCGAAGCAAAGAACAGGTTGATCTTGAGTCGGGTGCAGAATTCCCTAAAGACTTCCGAATCAAACTGCCTGCCGTTATCCGTGACGATGGCGTAGGGGATGCCGAATCGGCAGCAAATATTCGTCCAGACGAAATCCTCGACTCTGGCTGCCGTTATTGTCGCTAGGGCTTTGGCTTCTACCCATTTGGTAAAGTAGTCTACGGCAACAACAGCGTATTTGACCTGACCCTTGCCCTCTGGCATCGGACCAATTAGATCTAGTCCCCACTGGGCGAACGGCCATGGGCTCACGATCGGTGACAGCGGCTCGGCAGGAATATGAGGGACACTACCGAACCGCTGGCATTTGTCACACCTCTTGACTAGTGTGTTCGCATCCTGGTGCAGAGTCGGCCAGAAATAACCCTGCCGGAAGACCTTGTGTGCGAGCGATCGGGATCCAGAATGGTCACCGCAGATTCCGCTGTGGACCTCCCGAAGGATGTAGTCCCCCTGCTCCTTGGTCAGACATTTTAAATACGGCGTCGTGTAGCCCCGTTTGTACAGAACATCGTTGATGACTGTGTATCTTGCCGATCGGTAGCGAAGTTTCCGAGCTTGGGACTTATCGGTAGGAAGGGTTCCGGCTGTCAGGTAGGCATAGATTGGAGACATCCATGTGTCTTCGTACCGAACGGTACATACCTCAGCGGCGGTTGTACTCGGTTGGGATAATATCTCCACCGGTACCTTCCTTCCGATCTTGTCATTTATGGCCGAGGCCAATCGTGAGAGCGCGTCGGCATGGCTATTTTCCGACCTGGGGATCTGCCGTATCTCGTAGGCCTGGAATTTTTGTAGTAGTTGGTGGGCTGCCGATAGGTAGGCTGACATGGAGGCATCCTTTGCTGCGAAGTCTGCCGTTATCTGATTTACTATGAGCTGGGAGTCGCTGTGAATGCTGATCTGCCTCGCGCTCATGCTCTGGGCTAGCCGAAGGCCAGCCAGGAGGGCCTCATATTCTGCCTCGTTATTGGAGGTTCGGAAGTTGAATCGGAGGGCGTACTCGATTTTGCTACCGTCCGGAGTGGTTAACACTAAGCCGGCACCACAGCCTTGCTGGTTTGCCGAGCCGTCCACGTGCAGGATCCAGAGAGGAACAGAAGTGTCAAAACGTTCGGTATCCATTTTCTCTGGTGCGGTAGGGACGACGCTCGGCGATGATGGTTCCGATAAAGCAGGAGGTGTGAGCTCGGAGATGAAGTCGGCAACGGCCTGGCCTTTTTCTGCAGGCCTTGGCTTGAACTGTATGTCAAACTCTCCCCAAAAAAAAAAAAAAAAAAAAAAAAAAAAAAAAAAAAAAAAAAAAAAAAAAAAAAAAAAAAAAAAAAAAAAAAAAAAAAAAAAAAAAAAAAAAAAAAAAAAAAAAAAAAAAAAAAAAAAAAAAAAAAAAAAAAAAAAAAAAAAAAAAAAAAAAAAAAAAAAAAAAAAAAAAAAAAAAAAAAAAAAAAAAAAAAAAAAAAAAAAAAAAAAAAAAAAAAAAAAAAAAAAAAAAAAAAAAAAAAAAAAAAAAAAAAAAAAAAAAAAAAAAAAAAAAAAAAAAAAAAAAAAAAAAAAAAAAAAAAAAAAAAAAAAAAAAAAAAAAAAAAAAAAAAAAAAAAAAAAAAAAAAAAAAAAAAAAAAAAAAAAAAAAAAAAAAAAAAAAAAAAAAAAAAAAAGGGACATTTTAGAAAAAGCAAAAGGAGAGAGAAAAATTTTAAAAGAAGCAAAAATGGACAAAAATGCCCTTATTTATTTTTAGATTTCCTAAGGAATCCAATACATTTGCATGTCTTTGATTTGAAAGTTGAACGGTTTTTTTGTCTTTTTTGAAAAAACTTTGGCTTTTTCCAAAAGTGAAATTTTTTTTATGTCTAAAACCTAAAAAAACCTATTTTATTAATATATTGACATACCCACGTGACTTCTATATCTATGGGTTGGCACCACGCTCTCCAAAGGATAAAATTCCTTTTCCTATCTCATTATTTAGCATATTTTACAATCGGTGAACAACCAAATACCCATCCTGTGAGTGCAAACCCAACTCATAGGAACACCCACTCTTATGGGTAATTGGCAAGCTGAACATGATAAAGTGCTCATACACTCAAGGAGACCAGCCTCTGTACGACACACCGCAACATCTTCTCTCCAATATGAAATCAAACTCAAAATTGGTGTAGGGCACTTGGCGAACAACAATCCTACCATTGCAGACTTACTGGGTCAACAAGGTCCTAACCACCCTTCTTATTCATGGGGTAACCATGCCAATTATTCAAGACACCCAAACAAGTCCAAGTCTGGTGTGGAATTGTCATTGGCAAACTCAGTCACCAATCAGCAAACAGGTTTCCACATTTGCTGAAAGGCAAGGTTGACGACAAGGGTGACTTTCAATTAAAAATTTCTCTGTGCCGAAATCCCTCAAGACACCCAAGCCCACCAAATTGATCGGCAACTCCCTTGCCGATTGGTAAGTCGGTGACAAACGTATGGGACATCTCAAAACAACCCAAGCCCACCAAACTTATCGGGACACCCTTGCTGATTGACAAGCTGAGGATGGCACCTGAAAGAGCTCCCAAACAACCTCCTACGATCAGCTACACCCGTACCGATCGGCAAGTCAACTACGACACCTCCGCCTCAAAAATTTTCACCAAGGCCACCCCTACCGAATTGCCCAAATTTTTACCAAGACACTGCAGAAAATCCAAGGGACCCTTGCCGAACGGCAAGGGTTGGGCATAATCAAATTCGAGCTCACAAAATCCTAAACCTTGCCAAGCACAACTCCCTTGTCGACAGATTGTGCCAAAAACCAGGTACCCACGAAAATCACCCTGCCGAAGCCTGTCTTGCCAACCACTAAAATCCCCCCCAGCGAACCTTGCCAAAAGACAAGGTTCGTGCTGAAGTATTCGAAGGCCCCTCACTGCCTCTTCTCTCCGGCACAAACAGCCCAGCCTCTTTGACGAAGGCCAAGACCAAGGCAGCTCGCGAACAAGTCTAGTCACCCTTGCCGAACGGCAAAGGCTGTGCCCGATCTCCCTTGATTTCAGAACCCACTGAAACCCAAAGTGGGATCTTTGCCGAAAGGACTCCTTCACCAATTTTGCCAAAAATGAAGAATAGCCCAAGCCCTACCAGATACCATGCCGAACGAAAGGTTTTGTGCGGAGAATTTTAAGAGCTCACAGGACGCTGCTCATGCCCAGCCGGATAGCACGACGCTGCTCACAATCCTTGCCGATTGGCAGCCTTGCTAAAAGTGGTTAGGTCCTCGAAAAATCTCCTCCCCCCTTGGATCCGACACGGAAAAACCAAAGAATGGCAAATCCTTCAAACACGAGGCCACCGTATCGAAGGTATGCTCGCAGAGGCCTTGCCACACTTTGTTTAGAATAGCAGCCACAATCTATCCCTGTCGAAGCTTTATAGCCCCAGCTCTAAACCCTATCCACAATCTATCTTTGCTTAAGTAGAGACGGGCTCCTTTTCCCCCTTTAGCACCCTTGCCGAATCCTATTTGACCAAGACCTACTCAGGCCCAGACCCATGAAGCCCACAACACAACCCAAGTTACATTTCGACCCCTTGACCCCTTGCCGAACGGCAAGGGTCATGCCAACTATTCCACCTGGTCCACGACAACATTGTATCACAAGCTATTATTATTATTATTATTATTTCTTAAAATAATAATACAAAATGCACGTATGCATTTCTTCCCTTCAGCACCCTCGTGCCTTCGGCATCTCCTTAGCCTCTGGCACCTCCGTGCCTAGCCACATCGCCTTGCAACATGCAAGCTTTGTGTCGCTTTCGGCACTTCCTTGCCTAGGCATATGATCGTGGTTGTTTGTATTAGGCTTTTGCCTTTTTTTTGGTTATATATTATTGTAGGGGTCTTTTCTTAATAAAGTGTCGCACTGGGTCAAGAATTTATTTGGGCTCAACCCTGGATTTTTGGGCCTCAACATTAGCGATCCGACCGTAGAGACAGGTCTTGATCGTTGGTTTAGTATGTGAATAAGGTGGTTTAGGTTATTAATTGATGAGTTTAAATGGTAGAGCCTATGGGATGCTATATTGGTTGAGGTTTATATCAGATGAGAAAATATTTTATATATTTAATTGTGTGGATGTATAAAGGTATATAAAGGGATCAAATGTTAGTTTACAGTGCTATACGCACTACCCCACGTACCCCCCATATTGTGATTGTGTTGAGACCTTTAAACCTGTGCGGGCTGGTGAGAATGTAGCTAGGCCCAAAGCGAATAGTTAGATGGCTGGTGAGAATGTAGCCAGGCCCAAAACGAACAGTTAGATGGCTAGTGAGAATGTAGCCAGGCCCAAAGCGGACAGTGAGATATGCTTGTGAGGTCACGCGTGTCGTAGGAGTAGCCAGCGTGTTAACAAACCCCATACGTGGCCGGGTGCGTCCCGACGTATGAGGGGAGATATGTGATATTGTGTTGAGGTCGCACGTATCGTAGGAGTAGCCGGCGTGTTGACAGACCCCATACGTGGCCGGGTGCGTCCCGACGTATGAGGGGAGATATGTGATATTGTGTTGAGGTCGCACGTGTCGTAGAAGTAGCCGGCGTGTTGACAGACCCCATACGTGGTGCATCCCGACGTATGAGGGGAGATATATAATATTGTGTTGAGGTCGCACGTGTCGTAGGAGTAGCCGGCGTGTTGACAGACCTCATACGTGGCCGGGTGCGTCCCAATGTATGAGGGGAGATATATGTGATTGTGTTGAGTCTTTTCTTAATAAGGTGTCACATTGGGCCAAGAATTTATTTGGGTCCAACCCTGAATTTTTGGGCCTCAACAATTACCTACCCACCAAAAAAAAAAAAAAAAAAAAAAAAAAAGGCGTCCCTGTAGACATGATGAATGTTGCACTTTCAGCCAGTCATTTTCCAAAGAGGACAATTAGACAATTATGATAATGGTCCGATATTTCTAATATTATTGTTATTAGATAATAATGTCCAGCAAGAAAAGTACATGCTTTGAAGTTGTGCCAGTTAGAGTATATATATCTAAAACATCAACGGCCTATTATCAAACAAAATGTAAAAGAGATCCGTAGCGTGCATTAGATAAAAATTCGAAAAAGTACGGATGTATCCGACTTTCATACAGAGGAGCTGCCGTTGACTCTGCATCTTTATATGGAAGGTCTTGTTACGAAAATCTAAGTGTGGAGCAAAAGATGGCTTCAGAGATCAAGGTTGAAATCATCCACAAGGAAACAATTAAGCCATCCTCTCCAACTCCTCACCATCTTGCAAAATCCAAGCTCTCTATTTTTGATCAGATAACTCCTGAAATTTATGTCCCACTACTTCTCTTCTATCCCAGCAACAATAGTGATGATGAGGCTGATCACCATTCTTTGTTTTCTGAAAGATCACACCTTCTAAAAACATCATTATCTGAAGCCCTCAGTCACTTCTATGCCTTTGCAGGGGAATTTGAATATAATGTCTCAATCAGCTGCAATGACCATGGGGCTGGATTTATTGAATCCCAAGTCTACTGTCCCATATCGAAGGTTTTGGACAAACCCGATTTCGGGATCCTGAAACAGTTGATTCCAACTGCAACAGAATCCAAACAAGCTGAGGCTGGCCATCTTCTTCTAGTCCAAGTCAACTTGTTTGAATGTGGCGGAATGACAATTGGGGTCAGCATTTCACATAAGGTCGCCGATGCCTTTACACTGAGCACATTCATCAAAAGCTGGGCTGCAATTGCCCTTGGCTCAGCCAGTACTACTGATCATGTTCTGCTTCCTACAGAGTTCGGTGTTGCATCTACTCTCTTCCCACCACAAGATTTTTTCAACTCACGCCAGCCAACTGTGGAATTCGCTATAGAAAATTGTGTAACAAAGAGATTTGTGTTGGATGCCCCAAAGATTGCTGCTCTCAAATCCAAAGCTACCAGTGACACCGTGCCAAATCCCACGCGAGTTGAAGCAGTGTCGGCACTCATTTGGAAAAGCGCAATGCAAGCATCAAGATCAAACTTGGGTTATATAAAACCATCGGTGTGGTCTCAAGTGGTGAACATGAGGACAAGATCAGGACTGTCCTCGACAGAAAACATATTGGGGAATTTTGTGTGGTACTTCGCTGCAACGACCGTAGAGAGTGAATTAGACTTTAAAAGCTTGGTTGCTAAGTTCAGGAAAGGCATTGAGGAATATAAAGAAAAGTATCCTAATGGAGTTACTGGGGATGATGCGTTTCAATTCATCAAAGAGTCTGGGAACCTCTTGCTGAAGGATCATGTAGAAACCTACAGTTGCAGCAGTTGGTGCAGGTTTCCCTTCTACGAAGCCAATTTTGGTTGGGGAAAGCCGTCATGGGTGAGTATCTGTAGTAACAAATTCAAGAACACAATTATGTTAATGGACATGAGTGATGGCGTAGGCATAGAAGTGTACTTGACTTTCAAAGAAGAAGACATGGCCCTAATTGAAAGCAATGAGGACCTGCTTGCCTATGCTTCTCTGGTTTAATTAGTCTCTCCTCTTGTGCTTCTTAGATGAATGCTAAGGCGGATCTCTGACGATAATCACTTATAATAGTTTGTATGCTTGTATTGTTTGTGCTTTCATTGCATTTTCCCCTTTCAATTATGTACTACAAAAAAATATGAATGTTGAGATTTGTTTCACCCCCTTGAGCGTGAATTAATCATAACGTACCGAACTCGTTAACCAAATCCTAAAAACCTCATTTGTAACTAATAAATTATTATTAGCTAGGTACGCTTTAATTCTGGTTGGCATTACATTTTGATTGAATTGCAAGAGGTTAGCCAGATCCAGGGACGAACCTGCAGTGTGTACAAACTGGGCTATAGCCCAGTCAAGTAGGCCTGGGCACGGTTCGGGTCGGGTCAAATTTTGGCCGACCCGATGGGCCAAACCGAAGGAGAGGTCGGTTCTCGGTTAGGGTCGGGTCTAAAGAGAAACCCGAAAATGGGCCGAACCGGAAATGGGCTCGGTTTGCGGGTCGGTTCCAGTTCTGTTCGGTTTGGGCCTGAGCCCATTTTTACCATTTTAAAAAGCCCAAATCGTATTTATTTACAGCAAAAAAAAAGCCCAAATCAAATTTTTAGCCAAACAAAACCCAAATCCGATTCACTTTCAGCCCCAAAACCTTTTTTCTGTTGTCAAATTGCCAAAACCTATTCAATTCTTATGAACAAGCCCAAAACACTTTTTACTTCACTTTCAAAACCTGAAATTATGTAAATTCAACCTATAAAAATCCATCATTCCAATTTAAGTTTCTAAACTAAATAAATCTCACATTCAAAACCTGAAATTATGTAAATTCAACCTATAAAAATTCATCATTTCAATCTAAGTTTCTAAACTAAATAAATCTCACATACACACATTCAACCAACCAACCAAGGAAAAGAAATATAATCTCTTACAAACCATTACAAAAAATAATACACAAACCAAATTAAACTTATGAAATTAAATATTACAACCCATCACAAAAATACACATGAAGATAATATCCTTGCAAAAAACCTGCTACATCCATTCTTCCAAAAGCCTTAACAAAGTAACCTACACAACACTTAAAAGAATTAACACAAAGTATCACCATCAACAAATCATAATTAACATAAGATGCAAGAAAAATACCTTTCAACATATCTTAATCACACTAAGAACAGACTACAAAAACATATTACAAAAACATATTATAAAAACAGATTACAAAAACAGATTTTAAAAACAGATTACAAAAATAACAAAAACAGATTTAAACATATTACAAATACAAAAACAGATTTAAACATATTACAAATACAAAAACAGATTTAAACATATTACAAACACAGATTTAAACAGATTACAAAAACATATTTAAATAGATTAGCAGCAGCAGCAAATATTTACCTCCATTTAAGCAAAATTTTCCAAACTTTCAAAGCTCAGCAGCAGCAGCGACTCTAAACAACTGTGAATGAAATAAAAAAAAAGGTTAGGTTACAAACAAGC